GTTGTGCACACCTGTCGGCAGCACGACCCGCCATGTGCCGCCTGCAGCGCGGCTCCATGGGCACAACCTCGACGAGATAAGTGAAATAATTACTCGGGCCCCCGGGGGGGTCAAAGTGCATCCAGATCCACCGCCCGCCGGGGCACCAGGACGTCGGCTCCCAGGCGGTGGATGTGCACCAGCTCCCGCCTCGCAGAGTCGAGACAGGGGCAGCTCAGCATCCCCCTTCCTCCCCCCCCGTGCCAGCGGCGCTCCCGGCGCCCCCGGCGCCCCCGGCATCCCCGGCCGCCTGCCGCCCGCCGGGGCGCCCCCAGTGGCGCCCCTGGCCTTCGCCGCCGCACCGCCGGTCTGCCCGGGGCGGGCGCTTCGCGAGCACGCGGGGCCATTGCGGGGCCCGCTGCTTCCATCGAGCGCGTTCCACTGCTCGCAAATCTCCGAGCAAAACCATGTCTGCCTCGATGCCGTGGATCTTGAATCCCCCGCGGCGGATCCAGGCCATTTGCGAGTCGAGCAGTTACTCTGCGAGTAGTGGAACACGCTTGTCTATTCTTACCAGCCTGAAGCATATCCCATCTCGTTGACTGGTGTCGCCTTCTATCGGTGCCGATCTTGGGCATTCCCTCAGTTTCGACTGGCGCATCCCTAAGATTGTCATCGCCTTCTGGCTTGTCAGTCTCAGAGAGAGAGCGAGAGAGATTAAACTCGCAGCTGGTTAGTTTCGAAGAATAGGAAAGTGCAGAGACATAGTCTGTCGGAGGTCCGCGCGGATCTCTTGGATGGGCGCTGGACCTCCCTCCCCTGGCGCGCTCCGCACGCCCGGGGAGGGAGGTCCAGCGCCGATCAGAGAAACCCGCGCCGCGGACCTCCGAGAAATCGTGTTTACGTGGTTTATGTTCCTCTGGTTGGGGGGAGTGACGTAGATCCAGCCCCATGGCCCTATAACCCCATAGCCCCATAGCCCTATAGCCCCACTAGCCCTGTAGCCCCATAGCCCTATGGCCCTAAAAAGATGATGACTGGGATTCTGGTATTCTGTTCCTCTGGCTGGGGGGAGTGACGGAGATCCGGGCCTCCAATGAGATCACCGAGAAAGTTCACGACCGCGTGGTTTCGTCGTTTGTTCGGCGGGGCGGGCTGCTCTCCCTGAGGCGTTCGGGTGCTCTCTTGGGCCCCCGGCGGCTCTGCAGCCTCGGGGGGCCTTCCGGCGGCAGCGCCTCACTGAGAGCCCCTTTGGAGGTGCCCGAACGCCGTGAGAAAGAAAACACGATGGGAGGTTTTTTTCAAGGGGGAAAAAGACACAAGCACCAGTACACGTCGATCCCGTTGAAGGTATCAGAGAATATGGGAAGTGGGCGGGGAGGACGAAGATCCAGAAAACATGAAGAGATTTGGGGACTCCTGGGAGTTGCGTCTACGTATTTGTGTATCCCTGGGCCCCTTCAGTTTGGGCAATTTTCGGCCTCTGGGGGCCGTCACTGCCCCAGCTGTTAGAGACCGGTTCCAGGAAGCCGATCCCTGGGAAGGAGTCCGGGCGTCCGGGCCCACGTCGCGAAGGAATCATGACGTCGGGGGCCGGGGGGCGGATGGGGAGGGAGGGAGGGAGGGAGTGGGAGGGATGGGGAGGCCCCCCTGTGAGCAGAAAGCCGACTCGGGCGAGTTGACCCGAAGGCGCTTCGAAGCGCACCCGCAGCTGAAGCCGAAGCCGAAGCCAGAGCTGAGGTGAACAGAAAAATGGGAAGGACCCACCATGCAGGATTGGTTGACAGCACATCGTTGAGCTTTGCTGCTGCGGCTTCCCTGAGCACAGGCCCCGACGGAGAAGAGGAGGAGAGGAGGGGGGTAGGTCGATGAAGAAAAAGCGGCGCAGTCATATTCAATGCTCGAAGGTCCACGCAGATTTCTTGGATCTGCGCTGGGCCCCCCTGGCGGTACGTCAGGCGCCGCCCCCTTGCACGATCCGCGCACCAGGGGTGTCCAGTGCCGATCCCGGAATTCTGCGCGGGCTTTGGTGCTACTTTCAAAATTGGGTTCTTGTTTAAGCGCCGCGCGCATTCGTCTTCAAAGTTTGCAACAGCTACAGCGATGGAAGGAGCTCGTTTTCAGCATGGAGCTTTCGCCCCAGCGCCGCGCATATTCGTCTCTTTCATGTGCAAATGTTACCAGGATGGAGGACGGCCGGTTTGCAGAATAGATACGTCGCCCTAGCCCAGCCCCGCGAATATTCGTGCAACCAGTTTGAAATTGCTTCAAGGACGGAGGGCGAGTTTTTTTTTGTTTTCGACATTGATCTATCGCCGGGGATTTTGCCAAACTTAGAACCAGGCATTTGAACACGTGTAACAGCTGCACGGATGGATGGCGGCATCTTTTCAACATTGGTCTCTCGTTTGAAGCTTCCTCGAAGTTCATGGCCGTAAGTATATAAGTGCAGCATGTACACAGGTGGTGCTGTCTTTTGTCAACACGGGGATCTCGTTGGAGACCTCGTTGGGTTCTAGAGTCACACCTTTTGGGCATTCCTGGTTACTTGCTAGAAGTGGCGCACGCAAGGGAGCTTCTTATCGAAATGAAACTTTCGCCTGCGTGGCGAGCCCCTTGAGTGCTAATGTTTGAAGGATTTTCGAGGGGGCGCTTCTTGTAGTTAAAATGAAGGCTTGTAGGGACTCGCGAGGAGGGGACTTTGGACGAGGCTTGCATTGCGGCATCGTCGGCGCGTGTGGGGTTTGCTTTGGTCTGTATCCTCCTCCTTCTCCTCCTCCTCCTCCTCCTCCCCCTCCTCCTCCTCCTCCTCATCGCCCATCCCCTCTCCTTGTGAATAATGCTTCCTTGTCGTACCCCCAGACGTGTCCGTAGGGCGGGCTGGGCGGTTCGCCTGAGACTTCATGATCTGTGACCCTGAAGCTTAAGCATGACATAACTTTTGCGGATAGTGGGCGGGTGGTTCTCAACATTAGGTGTTCGCTTTAGCGCCGCACGCAGTCCTTTAGGAACTCGCAACAGCTTCAAGCATGGAGGGCGGGCCGTCTTCTAACTGTGGCTCTCGCCTTAGCGCCGCGTCCATTCGTTTTAAAAAGTGTGTAGCAGTTGCACGGATGGACGGCAGGTATTTTGTTGAAAGTGCTGATCTCGCCGTAGCGCCGCGCACATTCTTTTAAAAGACATGCGCAGCCTTAATTACGGATGGAGGGCGGCTATTTTTCAAAATGTGGTTATCGTTGTAGTGCCGCGCCCATTCGTTTTGAAAGTGTGCAACAGTTTCACGGATGGACGGCAGGTGTTTTTGAAATTGCTGTTCTCGCCCCAGCGCCGCGCACATTTCTCTTAAAAGGGTGCGCAGTTTTATTAATCGAGGGCTGCTCGTTTTCAAAATGTGGTTCTCGCTGTAGCGCCGCGCCTATTCGTCTTAAACTCTGCAGCAGTTTAAAGATTCGTATGGTTCAAGTCCCCTGCATTGTGTTGTGGCACGATGGCGGATTGTCAGGAGGGAAAACTCACGTTGATTCGCGGTGTTGACGTCTCTGGACTCGTGTTCTGGCACGGTTCAGGATTGTCAGGGCGCAAGAGTCACGTTGAGTCGCAGCGTTGGAGTCCCAGGAACGGTGTTTTTGGTCAGATTGGGAATTATCCGACTGTTGTCTTTCAACGGGACACTTCCCGCAATGATCATAAATTCTTTAAGAGATGATCTAGAAAGAGGCAATTTGGAGGGAGGGTGTATTGCAACAGGCATTAATGTTGACGCGTCTTGGAATTACACTGGTCCTCCTCCCCCTCCTCTTTCTCCTCCTCCTCGTATCCCCTTCTCCTCCGCCCATCCTTCCTCCTCCTCCTCCTCCTGCTAGTCCTCCTCCTCAGATTCCTCCTCCTCCTCCTCCTCCTCCTCCTCCTCCTCCTCCTCCTCCTCCCGCCTCCCGCCTCCCTCCTCCACAGCAACACGAGGAGGCGGTGGGGAACCATCCCGAGGTTGCTCGGCTGCCGCCCGGGCTCGCGCCGCCAGAGGCGCCCGGGCCGTTGGGTGACGGCCTGGCAGGACCGTCGTCGTCTTCGGCCTCCTTCTCCTCTTCCTTCTCCTCCTCCTCCTCCTCCTCCTCCTCCTCCTCCTCCTCCTACTACTCCTCCTCCTCCTTCTCATCCTCTTCCTCCTCCTCCTCCTCCTCCTCCCTCCTCCTCCTCCTCCTCCTCCTCGCCCCCTCGTCCCTTCGGTTGGATGAGGAGGAGGAGGAGGAGGAGGAGGAGGAAGGAGGAGAGAGAGGAGCAGGAGGAGGAGGAGGAGAAGGAGGAGGAGGAGAAGGAGGAGGAGGAGGAGGAGGAAGAGGAAAGGAAGAAGGGGAACAGGAGGAGGGAGGAGGGAGGCGGAGGGGGAGGAGGCGGGGGAGGGAGGAGGAGGAGGAGGAGGAGGAGGAGGAGGAGGAGGAGGAGGAGGAGGAGGAGGAGGAGGAGAGAGGAGAGGAGGAGGAGGAGGAGGAGGAGAGGAGGAGGAGGAGGAGGAAAGGAGGAAAAGAAGGAGAAGGAGAAAGGAGGAAAAGCAGGAAAAGAAGGGGAGAGGAGGAGGAGGAGCAGGAGGAGGAGGAAAGGAGCAGGAGGAGGAGGAGGAGGCGGGGGAGGAGGCGGAGGAGGAGGAGGAGGAGTAGGAGGCGGGGGAGGAGGAGAGGGATGAGGAGGACCGGGAGGACGGAGGAGGACGGAGGAGGACGAGTAGGATGAGGAGGATGAGGAGGAGGAGGAGGAGGAGGAGGAGGAGGAGAAGGAGGAGGCGGGGGAGGAAGAGGAGGAGGAGGAGGAGGAGGAGGAGGAGGAAGAGGACGAGGACGAGGACGAGGAGGAGGAGGAGGAGGAGGAGGACGAGGTGGAGAAGGACTGAGCTGGGAAAAGAGGAGGAAGAGGAGGAGGAGGAGGAGGAGGAGGTGGAGAAGGGAGAGGAGAAGGGAGCCAGGGAAATGAGGAGAAGGGAGGGAGGGAGGAAGGGAGGGAACTCGCAAGTGGTGCAGGCCGCGGGGAAGGGCCACAAATTCGGGCCCCCGCACGTTTACATTTGGATGGGCCTCGTGCAGGCGCTGATCGACCGGGGCGCCGCGGTCGGCCAGAACACGTTGGGCGAGCTTCAGCAGTGCAAGACGACGTGGGACGGCCTGACCTTCGAGGAGATTGCCGAGACGGTGAGGTTCTGCAGGCAGGGCAAGATATACGACCCGAAGCACAAACGCATCGCGTTCTCGCTGACCGACCTGGGGGTGCGGCAGACCGTCATCGCAGCCATGCGCCAGATGGGAGAGGTCATGGCCAGCCGCGTTTTTCCGGGCCACATGGAGCGCGAGGCGCAGGAGTGGCTCGAGAAGTTCATAGAGAAGTAGTTGCGTACCTTCGACGTCGAGGGATCGGCCCCGAGCATCCCGCTTTTAAGGCCCTGAGCGGGAGCGCACGCGTCCAGACTCTGGCGCGCGACGCGCCTTGACCGCTATTCCACTCAACATGCGGTTGTTGCGACAGGCGCTACTCCTCGTACTCCTCCTCCGCTCTTGCGTAGTGCGACGCCCGGAGTTCCTTGTGGACCCCAGGCTGCCCTCACCAGACCATGGACGCCGGGGTGTCTTTCGTGGATTCCGAGTGGTCCTTGCTTCCTTCTCCTCCTCCTTCTCTTCCACTTCCTCCTCCTCCTCCTCCTCCTCCTCCTCCTCCTCTTCCTGTTCCCTCCCCCCCCCCAGTAACAAGCGGCCATCAGGGTACGATTGCTTCGCTGCTTTAGTTGTACCCGCGGCTCCTCCTCCTCCTCCTCCTCCTCCTCCTCCTCCTCCTCCTCCTCCTCCCCCTCCGTAGCCATTTTGGCTCAAGATGTTTTCGCCCCGTGGCAGAGCACGGAGACCCTTGGTCCAGGGACAGCTAAGGACTTGCTTTCATATCCTCGCCTTCCTGCTGCCCAGCAGGTCGAGCTTCATATCTGGTGCTGCATTCGCCTGCAATCTCCTCCACGCGCACATCGGTGGATTGCCACCAGAGGCTGGCGCGGGCCTCAGTTCGCGGACGTCGACAGCATGGGTCCCCCCGTCGACTGCTTGGCCAGCGCTGCATCGACCCCCCGAGACGGAGCCACTGACCCAGTCAAGCGACAACAAGACCCATGGCATGACAGCGCATCCAAACTCGCAGTTCACGACCTCCCAGCACATGTTCGAAAGCAGCTTGAGGAGACCATGGCCGCCCAGATCAAAGACGCCACCGAAAAGTTCGAGGCCACAGCCAAGGCAGTCACAGCAAAGGCCAGCTCAGAGTTCCTCGCCTCACTCACGCAGATCACGTCCGACCTCAGCAGGCGCCACGAAGCAACAGAACGAGACATCACCGCAGTCAAGCTCCGTACCAATGCCCTGGAAGAGCAGAACTCCGAACTCAAGGCCGCCGTTGCCAAGCTCGAATCCATTATCACAGCAGCAGAAGCACGCGCTCCCGCCCTCAACCTGGGCGGCCTGGGCAGCTGTGACCGCGACCCCGACATCACCACCTTCTGGTGCAGCAGTCCGCAGGAGTTCAGTCAGCAACATCTGGAAAAGCTCTCACCCCATGGTTCCAGGCCGCCAACATCAAGAAGGACATGGTTATATTCAACACGGTCGGCCCCTCCAAGCGCCACTCGTTTCAGGTCAGCGGGGGCACAGTGGTTGCGGAACCTCGGGCACAACGCCTTCATAATGCTCTGCGTAATGGAAAGCATTGGCGCACATTCACTCTCGATTTTGGTAATGACAAATACGTTCCTCTATATGTATCTGCCGACAAGAGCCCGAAGGCCGTCCGCACGGAGGTCCAGATCAAGCGCCTCGCCAAGATCATGCAGAACTTCAAGCCAGACCTCGATGCGCGCACACACAGAACCCTGGGCTACATATCGTGCCGCGGTGAAGCCTTGGTTCGCCTTACTGTTGGCAGCAATGCTGATGTTCCTACTAAGCTTCAGTGGTCACAGGCCGCCAACAGACATGGAATTTCCGAAGATGTCCAGAAGCAGATCGCCGCCGAGTTCATCAGCAACTTCGCAGACCCTCTTTCTGCCGCACAGTGGCTTTAGCCTTCGGTGGAGCCCATGGCTCCTGAAGCCCTCGCAGGAGGGCCTGAACACCGCATTCTGGAACTCGCAAGCGCTTCTCGGACAGTCCGCTCTACGTCGCGCCGGCAAACGACAGCAACTTTTACCATACTTTCGCCAACGAGCTCTTATCGCAGTGCAAGAGACTCATGGAACTCTGGATGACCTAAAGCTGCTGGCGAACTCTACCCAGCATCGGTACAAAGCTTTCCACTCGCCCGTGATGGTCAACGGCGCGCCCATGACTAACGCTGGCGGCATTGGCTTCATCGTCCCCTACGACAAGGCAGAGCTTCAACTTCCTCCAGACGAACGGCCTCAGCTCAGGTTTGAGGTCGGCATCCCTGGCCGTGCCGCGTGGCTTCGGACCACGGATGCCAGCCTCCAGCACGAAGTCACCGTCCTCAACATTCACAACTTCGGCTTGACTCCAGCAGATCGGTATCTCTTACGTGACCAGTGGCACGCTCTTCGCCATCATGCTGACGAAGTCCCTCAGCAGCGGCTCCTTGTCATCGTCGGCGACTTCAACGTCTCCGAGTTCCCGCCACGTTCGAGCAACACGCCTGTCGACTCAGACACCACAGCATCACAGCGTTATCAGTACCAACCAGTCTTCTGGCGCAACCTGTTCCGCGACGTCATCGAGACTGTGACTCCCTCGACGACACATAGATCGGAGGCTAACAAGAATGAGTCTACTATTGACCGCTGCTTCATCAACCTGCCTAGCCACCTCACGCCTTTCATGGAAACTGTCTACATCGCCGACGACGCCCCCCTCGAGAACCCCAAGGGCCCCGTCAGCGACCATAAGATCATGCACTTGCGCATCCGTCTCCGCAAGCCCAAGAAGGTCACCGAGCGCGGCATCCCCGCGTACATCTCCGACACCGACCACTACAAGCACCACGTCGCCAGAGTGCTCGCCGCGGTCGACATGTCCTCTCTCGCTCCCACTGCGCGCTGGAGGGCCTTGAAGGCAGCCATGAGAGTTGCCGCTGCCAGAGCCCGCGACACGCTTCTCAAGATCCCAGCCGCCGAGCTATCATCACAAAGTGGGACCGTCAGAAAGGAGACCAGGGCCATGACTCTACGCAGCATCGCCAGAGCTGTATGGTACCAGAACATCCCCCTCGCCCAGACGCTGATCGACAACACCGACATCGGCAAACTGCACCTGAAGATTGACGGTCGTACCGTCAGCATCAACGACATGCACGACTTCTCCTCGACCACCGACGCCACGCACGCGAGCCTCAGTGACGAGCGCAAGGCCCTCTCTGCAGCACGCTCGCGAGCCGCTTTCGCCGCCAACAATGTCCAGCTCGGTCAGAAGTGGCGCCAGCGAGCCAAACGTGAAGGCCTCCGTGGCGAGCTCTGGAAGCCATTCTCCAGGCGGCTCGTCCTGACGGGCGTCAAGATCATCGCGGGCGGCGTCGCCAACATCGTCACCGACCCCGCGACGATGCATCAGGCCATCATGCGCCGCTGGGCCCCCGTCTTTGCTGCAAAGCATGTTCCTGACGACGCCCTCACCAACTACCTCGACTCGATCTTCCCCAGACGCGCACTCACCCACCTCGACCTACCTGACGCCCAAGCTCTCGAGAAGGCTGCTCGCCTGGCTGGCGACTCCGCACCAGGACCCGACACGCTTCCTTACAAAGCATGGTTGCGTACTCCCGACAGCTTCGACATCCTCGCCGACTTCTGCCGTGACATCGCCACCAGACGCGCACCGCCTCACGACCTCAACTACTCCCTCATGGCCATGCTTCCGAAGGGCGACGAGCCCTGCGGCAATGCTGAGTGCACCCGCGCTCCAGAGTGCCTACGTCCGCCCTCAATGAAGAACTCGGATGTGAAGCTGATGGCGTCCGCCGCCAATCGACAGCTTCACGCCCTCGCAGCCGAGACGTCTCCCGAGCAGCAGGGATTCGTCAATGGCCGCCAGTTTTTGCGCAACGCCGTCGTGGTGGATGCCGCTGCTCGACGTCATAGTCTTTCACCTAATGCAGCTACTGACAAGCCCGTCTTCGTCAGCATGGACATCGCGGCCGCCTTCCCCAGCCTCGGCCACCACTGGATGTGGAATGTTCTCCAGCGGTGGGGCATCCATGGACACATGCTTCACCTGCTTCAAGCTTGCTACCACTGGCCTGTCTCCTACCTGGACCTTGGCGGTGCACGCCGCCCCCTCTTGATCGCAGAGTCAGGAGTTGCTCAGGGCTGTCCGTTAAGCGGTACGATCTGGGCACTCGTTTTTGACCCAGTCATCAGAGCCCTCACCAGCGAGCTCTCAGCCATCGAGCGCGGTCTGGTTAGCGCATGTGCTGACGACCTCGGTATCATCCTCGCGAGGCTAGCGGACATCAGCAAGCTCGCGCCGCACATCATCGCGGTGGAGACTCTCGCGGGCCTGTGCCTCCAGGCCAAGAAATGCATCGTGGTCCCGACCTGGACGCTGCCCACTCAGGACATCATTGCGGAGATACGCCAAGTACTTGCTGCCGCCCACGCTCCCTGGGCCGCCTTCAAGGTTGAGTCCAGCGCCATATACCTCGGCTTCTTCATCGGCCCTGGCGCCACTCTTGACGACCAATGGCGAGGCCCTGCTGTCAAGTGGTGGGGCCGCATCGAGAAGCTCGCCGCGTCCCACGCCCCTATCCAGCAGAGCATCAAACTGTACAACGTCGCTGCCGTCACGGTCCTTGGATACGTAGGCCAGCTATTCGAACCCTCGGCGGGCATCCTCCAGAAGGAGCTGCAGGCGTTCCACAAGTTGCTGCGCGTTGCCCCGTCCAGCTTCGCGAAGTCCGACATCCTCGCGACGTCTCTCTGGACCAAGGCTGAGGTCCCCATTGGCATCGAGAACTACCTGGCGGCCACCATGTGGCGCACAGCCACCTCCACGGTGGCAGACTGGCGCGGCGCATTCAACGCGCTCTGCGACACCGCGTACGAGCAACTCCCCCTCGTCACAGTGCAGCGCGGCCACTGGTGCAGCGAGTGCTGGTCCATCAAGCCTTCCGTCGCCCAACGGTTCGAGCACATCATCAACTCTACCTTCTTCCCCGACTGCAAGGGCTCCCACTTAAAGAGGCTGACCCGCACAGCTGGCCCCCTTCCTCGCGCCCGAGCCGCTATGATTGGCATCCACAAGCGAGCCGCTCGTGCTGGAATGCAGGCCCTCCTACAGCAGCAACAAGAACTGCATCGCCGCCGAACCGCACAGATCACGCCGCAGAAGGCCTACATGACGTCCCTGAACGAGCAGCTCTACACCGACACGATGGCAGACACCATAAAGCGGCGTCTCCTGTCCTGGTTCCCGCCCCTTGACCCTGCGAAGTCGCTCACCAGGGAGCCGCTCAGCGGGCCTCGCCGAAATGCCGAAATCGTTCAAGAACGTCTGGCCGACCGAGCTCGCGCATGGGCCGCCCACTGGCTTCCCGACATCCTGCTCAATGACCACACGATCGACAACCGCTTAGACTGGATGCAGTGGTGCACGGAGTACCTGCACGAGCTCCTCGGGTCCGAGACCTTTCGCCCGCTTTATGCCACCTCCGCTCGCCGACGACAGATCGCCGCCGACATGTGTCAGCAGGCATGGGACAACAGCGGTACTGGCAGAATCCTCCTCGAACACCGTCTCTCAAGAACTCGGACCCGCTCAGATGAACCGAGCAGCCTGACTTCGCTACTTCAGCATGAAGCCTCCCAACATCGTGCCCGCCGCCGTTGGGTCGCCAACTTTCTCCCGTACCAGCTGCCCGACACCGACATCAGTGACGCCGACTTCCCCGACGGCGACGAAGACCCTCCAGATGACGAAGGCGAGCCGCCTGATCTTCTTCGTCTCCATCGGGTTCCCGCCGACCTTCCAGCTCGTTGGAAACGCCTGCGCACCTACCTGGCTACGCAACCGCCTGCACGGATGTGGGCCACAGTGAAGGCCCTCGTGGGCGCATGGACCACCAGCTACCGCATGCATGTCATCCAGGACAAGCGCCCTTGCCACTTCGGGTGCAATCACCCGCTCGCCAAGGACAACATTCAGCACTACATGACGTGCGAACGCATGTGGCACCAGCTAAGCCTGCCTCGCGGCCAGCTGAGCGCCGACCTCCTCACGCGCATGGCGCTCCCCGAGCTGTCGCACCCGTGCGACGGCGAGAACGGCATCCCGAACTCCGCCACGCGCCTCGCCGTCGCGACGCGGGCGTACCACCTCACCAAGGACCACCCCCTCCCGATCTCCTACCACAACCAGTACACGGCCTTCGCCGCCGCTCGCCGCGCCCTCCAGTTCCCGGCTGACCTGAGCGGAGGTGCGGGCGCGCCGCGGCTCGGCTAAGCGCGGACGAACCTTCCTTCAAGGTTACGTTCGCTCCTCCTCCTCCCCCTGCCCTGGCAAGGTGGACATCGCGGGGCTACACGTGGTGACCCCGGGCATTGCGGGTAGTTTTCGCCCGTTGCTTTGGGAAAGATCCCCGAGGTAGCTTGGGGGGGCGCTTCCCGACATGCAGGGTACGTCGTGTCAAAATCGGGATAGCTTTAGGACCCCGTGGCGGGCTGGCTATCCAAATGTTGTTGTCTCTTTCGTTTTTCGGTCTCTGGGAAACTACTGGGGCTGAATCGGCACAGCGAGTAGCGATCTTTCTGGAGGACTGCCACTGCGACGACCGATCCGATGACTACAATGATGGGGCATCCGCGCATGAGGGGGACGAGGACGACGAACGAGGGGAGGATGGATGACGGACGAAGGAGGCAGGAAAAGAGGAGGCGGAAGAGGGAAGAAGTCAATGGAGCGCGAGGGAACGCTGAATGTTGGCACGCCGCCGTCCCTTTCCAGGGAGTGCGGGGCCGTGCACTCAATCTGCATGCAATCTGAGGGGCGCGTTACAAGTAGGACAATGAGGGGGGAGCTATGAATTTACCGACTTTGATTGGCAATTTTCTTCCCAGCGCGTTGCCCCAGGAGCGTGGGTAATCATCCCTGTCGTCATCGTCGCCACCGCTCTGCTACCAAATCTGCGTGTAGGGCGGCCCCGAGGACATGTTGCACTCAGATTGTGCCGGATGCCAACAGCATCCGAGGATACAAGCATCATCACAGGAAGTAAACATCCGAATGCGCCCCGCTACATATTCGATTGCCATCAGCATCAGAGGATGTGTGTGTGTGCGTGTGCGTGCGTTGACTGGCTGGTTGAGTGTTTCAGCGGTCCGCTGTCGCAGCAAAATTAGAATCCTAGCAACATGAGAGGATATATGTGTGAACTGGTTGGTTGAGTGTTTCAGCGGCCGTCGCCGCAAGACATCTAGAATGCAAACAGCGTCAGACGATGTATGTGTTGACCGGCCGGTTGAGTAGTTCAGCGTCCCGCTGTTGTCGCAAACTAGTTGCCCGACAGTGGATTGGACCATCTCATGAATTATGTTGACGGTCGTTATGTTCGACAACGACGGCAGAGCCTATTCGATGCGTCCTGAAGCAAGCACGGACTTTCCAGCCGTCGTGGCCTTCTGATTTCGAGCAGGCTTTCCCGTCGGTCCCGCACCTTTGGATGCGCCTGACCCTGGAAGCGATTCGCCTCCGAGCAGCGCTGATTGATTCCGTAAAGATCTTGCACCATGGTGTGGTTTGCTTCTCGGAATTCGGGCGCCTGCACTGTATACATGTTTCCTACCTGTTCTGACATTACCCAGGGTTGCCCCACTCCTGGCACGTTGTTCGCTTCATGCATGGACCCATTCGTCTGCGATTTCGACCAAACCGTAGAAGTCAAACAACCCGGGATAGTTAGACTGTGCGCCGACGACATCGGCTCTACCCTCGTGAAGGTCAAGCAGTTTCGCAGTTTCACGCTAACCAAGCAGCTCGCCGCTTTCTGTCTGAAGATCTATAAACGCCAGGTCTTCCCAGTCGCTGGTCCGTTCTCTGAGGTCTTGGCAGAGTTACATCAAAGCCGCCTCCGCTCCTTGATTCCCCCCTGGACCGAGTTCAACATCCGCAAATCAAGCAAGTACCCTGGGATGTTCCCCAGACCCGATTCATAAAACTCATGCTGGATTGCCCCCATCAACAAATGGCGTCTGCGGTCCTTCGAGCTCTCGGCTGTTGGCGCAGCCTCCAGTGTTTCAGAGTGTTTCAGCCAACATGTACTCCACCCGTGCTGCTTCGGCGACGTCCTACATCAACCAATTCGTACCCCGCGCCCGCCGACCCTCCTTGTTTCGAGTCGGCGATGTTGGCCCAGGTAATTCATATGCCGTATTGCGGGTTAACGACAAGTGGTATCGGTGGAAGGAATGGGGGGCCCTCGCACATCGCGTCTTCCTGCTATATGTATGGCGGCAAGAACCAGAACAGCCAGTGCTACACTCGTGCGGCAAAACTCCCTGGCGTCCCTGAAGAGAGCGGCGGAGAGACATCGGCCTCTCGCTGCATGTATCCGTGAAGAGTTGTCCCCCAACTTCTGGAGAAGAGGTTTGTCATGGTCGACGCCTCCCCCAGGCTCTCTGAAATCACGTCCTCCCAGAACTCCTTCAGGCCCGACATCTACATCTACAGTATCCGAGCTCCTCCCATCCTTAGTCCCGCCCGAAAACTCAGAGTGACGCTTTCTGGCTCTATCCAATGCTATGTGCACTGCCACGTTGAGCAACACTTTTTCCTCTAGGTTCCTGACGTGGTTCCCCGCCGATCGTCAACGCATCCTTACCGTTGTCTGGCGGGAGGTCTAGGCTGTCCTTGTCGCCCTTGCGTCGGGCCATTAGGCTCGGACTTTATCGAAAACTAGTTGACGCGTCTTAGGTTTCAACAGACTGAATGTGCTCACTGTCTCTTGGGGTACCCTTCTGGGGCTGACGATATGACACATTACTGGAATGTCATGCTGTTTGGCACCCTCCCCCTGGTGGCGCGCTTCCTGTGGACCCTCGGGACCGTCTCGGGCGGCTTGCGCCCTCGAAACTCTCGCTCCGTGTGCCCGCGGCCTCCTACCTCCTCCATAATGATATACGTGCCAAGTCTCTGCCTGTAGGTCGCCCGATCGAGCTCGTGGAGGCCAATGCCCTCCTGCCTGCAGTCCGCAGCATCATGCTGCGTTAGCCGAGCCTGAACCCGACCGCGAGGCCACGCGGCGGGAGGAGGAGGAGGAGGGGGAGGAGGGGGAGGAGGAGGAGGACGAGGAGGGAGAGGAAGAGAAGGAGGAAAAACGGGGCACCTCCTCCTCCTCCTCCTCCTCTCCTCCTCCTCCCCTCCTCCTCCTCCTCCTCCTCCTCCTCCTCCTCCTCCTCCTCCTCCTCCTCCTCCTCTCCTCCTCCTCCTCCCCCCCTCTCAGCCTCCTCCTCCTCCTTCTCCTCCTTCTCTCCTCCTCCTCCTCCTCCTCCTCCTCCTCTTCCTCCCCCTCCTCCTCCCATCGCCCCCTCGCTGCCGGAGCTCCCCGCTCCTGGCCCCGCCCCCGCGGGCCGCAGGAGGCGCCGCCGCCGACGACGCCGAGGCGGAAGTGCCGAAGCCCGACGTCGAGGGCCCGCCCCCCCAGGCCCTCCCATGCCCCCACCCCAGACCCTTGTTGCACTACGCTCGCGCGGCGCTGCTTGCAACTCTCCCAATTCCATGTCGAATACTCGGCGTCACGGTGCCGTTCTTGGAGGGGCAGCGCTCCAGCGCGCATGTGAGCGTTAATCCGCCCCGCTCGCAGACTTTCGGGGCCCATTCGACCCAGCCGGTCCGATTCGGTTCAGCCAGGGCGCTGAAGTGAGGACCGCTTCCCAGATATGCTCGCGTCGTGGACAAGAATCAGGACGCAAGGTTTTTAGCCGTTTTCGGCCTCTTGGGGCCCTCGCCGAGCCCTGGGGCAGTCAACCAAATTCTTCTGGATGAAAAACCGGGATGAAAAACCGGCCCCAGGGAAAGGGTCGGGATTTTTGGGGGCCGCGTATTGAACAAGTCAGGAAATCGCATGGCTGGGCTTGGGTTCGGAAGAGGCTCGCTGTTCCGTAGGTCCCTCCATAGTGACTCTTCTAGCCCTTTTTGTACCCCCAGGCGCTTCTGGGGCCAAAACGGGGCGTCGTTCCTTATGTTGCGCTCCTTGTGGTATGGCAGCTTGATTGCCGCGAACTCGGCCGGCTCGGTCCGGTTGGGTTCCGAGTCTCTTCAGCGGCAGAGTGCTTGCATGCCGGTAGTTGTCGGGCGGTGATACGCTTGGAATACACTGGGGAGTGGAGGCCCATGCCAAGAAACACCCTGCTCGCCTCCAGGGTGCCCTGGGTTTCTTGGGTTGGGTTTCGATTGTTTTGCGAAGGAGAGCGCGACGTTCCCACACCAAAAATCAATGGACGTCCTGGGGTCTCAGGGTTGGGTTTCTTGTGGGAGGTTTCTTGGACTGGCCTCCACCGTAAATCGTTGCAGAGCGTTCTGGAGCGCCCTCGGGGCGTCCGGGAGCGCACTGGCGCGGCCACGCCGCCCGATACATCCTCAAGAACCGGGATGAGTGCCGCTTCTGGTGCGCGGCTGGCTTCGCGTCGAAACACCACGTGCGTGGAACTCTGTGTGTGGAGCCTTATGCGTGTGAGGAGGAGGAGGAGGAGTAGGAGGAGGAGGAGGAGGAGGACGAGGAGGAGGACGAGGAGGACGAGGAGAAAGAGAAAGAGGAGGACGAGGACGAGGACGAGGAGGAGGAGGAGGCTTTCCTCGCTATCGCTCCCCTCATACATCGCGTTTCCCCCCCCCATCTGCTGGTCCAGCAGCACCGCTCCCCTCCCACGTCGTGCCTCCCCCCGTCTGCCCGTCCAGCAGCATGCTCAGCAATCTGGCTATCTGCGCAATGATGTGCAGCTATTCCCCAAGCAACGACTGCACCGAGGGGTGCCCGCTGGGGCCCCACGGAGCACGCCCGCCTTCCGGGGCCTCCGCCAGGTGCCCGCCTCGTGGCACCCGCGCGGGGTGGCCTGCTCTGCCGGGGCTGCGTCCAGGGCCAGCCCCCGTTCAAGCAGTGGCGAAGCGTCTTGGCGTGCCGATAGGCCTACCGAACAAAGTTCTAAGAACCTTTTAACCACGAGAAATTCTTAGAACATTTCTGGCTGGGACTCTCTTGTTTTAACACATCGGGTCGACGTTCTAAGAACATTGTTTGGTATTAGAACATTTTCGGGTTCGAAGAATATTTCGTGGCAGGCCTGTAGGAATGCCGGGACGGTCGGTCCCTGCTCAACCCGAGTGTTTGCACGCGTTGCCTTCGGGACGACGGAAATGGGTACGGTGCAGTTGGACCTGTCCCCCTACATGAGGAAAATTCAAAAAACAGTCACAAAATAGTCTGGGGACGATGCTTTGAGCAGCTTTTTGAGTATTTTTGAATATTTTCCGGGTGCTCCTCATTTTTCGTCCAAAATCCGCCTGTGGGAGGACATGCCCGACCGAAGGGTACGGAAAAGAATGGGCACGATGCCCAACAGCAGTTCCTGCTCGTTCTGGACAGGACTCGCTGTCCGCACCGCCGCGGACGTTGTTCATTGGAGACAAGAAGCCCCCTGCGCAACAGCGGCCGGTGTCGGTTTTGGGCAAGATTTGTTGTTGGGCATTGTGCCAATGTTTTCCGTACCCATTTCGGGCGTCCAAATTCCCGGATTTCGCCCAGTGCCCGCTTGTTTCCACCTCCTTGGCGCCCCACGTGTTGGCGGGCTGGCGCCACAAGATTTGCACCGCACAGATTGCACGGCGCGAGACAGAGCGCACCACACAGATTGCACCTCGTAAATTCACCATCGTCAGGATCATCCCCATCCATGCCGGGGAAGAGTAGTCTAGCTCTCCCAGCGTAGAGCCCCCCTATGTGTGGGAATGGACGTCGTGAAAGCTCGAAGGACACGGCACCCATACCCACATAGGGGTGGGAGGTCGGCCAACAGGGCCATGCTTTCCCCAGCGGAGGTGGAGATGGCTTCACTTGGCTAGGCAAGTGACGCACTCGCAAAGTGCAAGAACCCACGGATTTGGGTCTACGTCTGCAAAACGATTGCTACACATGTCTACTTAACGCCCCGCCTTGATATGCTAGCTTCATCTTACTTAGTTCCCCATGTTTGCCCAGCTATCTACTCATCTGTATATCTAACCAGTGTAGTTTCCCTGAGTCCTTCAAAGTCGTCGAACTTTCGGTCCCTCTGGCGATTGGCGCCCAGGTGTCAAGAGACGCCATTTCCGAGTTTGGGACCGCGGGGGGGAATGGGTCCCTCTGTCGAGTGGCACCAGGGAACCCAAAGACGCCATTTCAGGGTTAGGGCCATTGTTCGTTGGCGAGCTAAGAGGGGAAGTGACAAGGGGCGGGCCTTCTCAGAAGGTTCGGAAGTCCTCTGGCCTTTCGAGAAGTTGTCCAAGCTTTCCCCGAAGACACGGGCAACTTCTCAGAAGGCGCGAGGGCTTCCGAGAAGCACAGCCGCGTTCTGAGAAGGCCTTCTCCCTCTCACATCCTCCCCTCGCTCAGCGCCGAATTGTGGCACCAGGTTCGGATTGTGGGAGGAATCCCGAGGAAAGGAGCTGCTGCTGCTCCTGCTCCTGCTCCTTCCGCCCCCGCCCCCAATGCGCCAGTCACCCCCGGCTGCGCTGGCGTGGGGCGGATCTCCTGCGGAGGCGGAGGAAGAGGAGGGCGAAGGAGGAGCTCTGGGCTGGATGGGTATGGCGGGCTTCCTCAAACAGTTTGAAGAGAAAAACCGCACTCTTTGCTCCACTCCTTCTCTCCACTCCTCTTCCTTCTTTTCTCTTTCTCTCTCTCCCCCTCCTCTCTTCCTCACTCCTTTTCTTCCATCCAGTCCAGCGCCAAAGGAGGAGGGATGCGTGTGTGTGTGTGTGTGTGTGTGTGTGTGTGTGTGTGTGTGTGTGTGTGTGTGTGTGTGTGTGTGTGTGTGTGTGTGTGTGTGTGTGTGTGTGTGTGTGTGTGTGTGTGTGTGTGTGTGTGTGTGTGTGTGTGTGTGTGTGTGTGTGTGTGTGTGTGTGTGTGTGTGTGTGTGTGTGTGTGTGTGTGTGTGTGTGTGTGTGTGTGTGTGTGTGTGTGTGTGTGTGTGTGTGTGTGTGTGTGTGTGTGTGTGTGTGTGTGTGTGTGTGTGTGTGTGTGTGTGTGTGTGGTGTGTGTGTGTGTGTGTGTGTGTGTGTGTGTGTGCGTGCGTGCGTGCGTGCGTGCGTGCGTGCGTGCGTGCGTGCGTGCGTGCGTGCGTGCGTGCGTGCGTGCGTGCGTGCGTGCGTGCGTGCGTGCGTTGCGTGCGTGCGTGCGTGCGTGCGTGCGTGCGTTGTGTGTGTGTGTGTGTGTGTGTGTGTGTGTGTGTGTGTGTGTGTGTGTGTGTGTGTGCGTGCAACTTGAAGTGGGTCTGACTGCATGAAAGACAGGGCCAGGAAACCTTATGGCGGGACCAGGTCGGAATTTGAATCCGAATTGTCATCCAGAACCCGTTCCCTCTATACACACTACCTCAATTAAAGTAGGGACTCCGCGGGCCCGAGCCAGGAATGCTAGCACACGAGCTTCTACAACGGAGCCCCCGTGTCCTGTTTTGAGTCACTGTGCGCTGTCGGGGAGCCCCGCTGTGGTGGGAGCATCAGCATCACCACCACACCATCACCAGCACCCCCACCACCCTCCTCCTCCTCCTCCTCCTCCTCATCATCATCATCATCCGCCTCCTCCTCCTCCACCTCCTCCTCCTCCTCCTCCTCTTTATCATGCTCTCTCTCTCGTCGGTCCCTATCCCTTCCTCGCCGGCACGACGACGACGGCGGCAACGGCGGCGACGGCGGCGACGGCGACGACGGCGACGACGACGGCGGCGACGACGATGACGGCGACGACGACGACGACGACGACGACGACGACGACGGCGACGACGACGACGACGACGACGACGACGACGACGACGACGACGACGACGACGACGACGACGACGACGACGACGACGACGACGCGGCGGCGGCGGCGGCGGCGGCGGCGGCGGCGGCGGCGGCGGCGGGCGGCGGCGGGCGGCGGCGGCGGGCGGCCGCGACTTGGGCGGCCCCGCGCCGGCCGCGGCGCGCACCCGCGGCCTGCGAGGCCCCGGCAGAGGTGGAGGCCCCTGCGCCGCTGGAGGGCCCCGCCGCCGGCGCCGAGGAGGGCGCTGAGGGCGAGGGGATCGCTGAGGTCGGCTTCGCGTAAGAGTGACCTGTCGCCAGAGTGCCCGTTGGTGCGGGTCCGATGGTCTCTGGGCCTCCTAGGTCCTAGGTGGGGTCGGCATGATTAGATGGGGTCGGAGGATCGCGCCGCATCGTCGATGCATCGACGATGCTGCTCGATGTAGAGCTCGATTTCCTCCACGCTGGCGCCGCCGATGCATCGCCGGTGTCGCCGATGCATCGGCGATGTATCGCTGATGTATCGGCGATGACCCCATCCGCTCCGACCCCTCCAGGAGGCCTCTGCAATGGTCTGTGGGGAGGCCACACGTGCCCCAGGCCCGCAGAGGCTGGAACCGTGGCCGCTGCGACACCTCCGCTGGGGGGTACGTCGCCCGGGGGGCACGCGTGGCCCTTCCCGGAGGGGGGCCCCCGGCACGGGCCTGCGCGCTCGGACGTGGCCTGCCCGCGGCACACTGCCGTCGGGCCGCTGAAGAAGGAACCCGTGTCGGTGGGGAGGGGCGCAGCGTTCCCGGATGGGCCTGCAGCTTTTCTTGGCTTTCCATGGGAGGTCGAAACTGACTTCTGGGAAAAAGGAGGGGCCGCGTTTCTTAGTTGGCGGACTCCGGAAGCCCTGAAGTCAAAAGCGCTGTCATCTCTTGGGGGCGCATATTTCTTTTCCGACGCTACACCTCTCAAGATTCGGCTGGATGTCTTGCGATTGGGCTCGATGAAGAACGACCGCATCCGCGGCGCAGCAAATTCTCATCATACTCAAGCGCAGCATATCACGGCACAGAAAGCCAAAACCCTTCGAAGTGTGCTGGGGCCCGAAGGGGGCGCCGAGACGGGGATGACGAGTTGCTGAAAGCACCCCTGCGGGGGTCGCCGTTTGTGGACGTCGGCTCCACGGACTTCACCGGCGCGGGGAATGCACTCCGGGGCCGCAGGCCCAGATTGTACGTGCTTACGTGACAGAACTACCGCGGCGGGGCTACCCCCCCACCATGCCAACATCGATGCTACCGTCGGATGCTCTCCGCCGGCGCTGGTGCACGGTACGGCCTCCCTTGATGATCACTTTTGACACCGCCAGCGCGCTTCACACGAAGCTCACATAAGCTGCATTTTCAGGAAGCGGAGTCTGTGGCCGGCATGCTATCTGACCCGCTCAACGCGGCGGCCCGCGGGCGAGGAAGGCGCGGGTGGGCGTGCGTCCTGCAGCTGGTGGGTGCAACTGTCTGGCTTCCGCTACTCTTCGGTGGCGAAGTAAAATATCGTGAAGGTTGTAGGGCCCGCGTGCTCACTTGTCCAAGGGTCCCGAGAACTACACGCTGGTTTTGCTCGTCATGGTCGCCCCAGCCGACTCTCGTGTTGGCTACACGCCGAGGGCCTGGTGACCCAGGGCGAGGAGGGCGTGTGGCGCCTCCTGGCACCTCATGGTCGGGCGCTTCGGGGCAGAGCCGACCCCAGGGGAGTTTCTGCATGTTGTATTTGTCTGTTGTGGTTGTCACGTCACTCGAGGTCGACACTTACGTCGACGCCTACGCTGGGGGCCCAGTCTAATGATACCTGGCCGTGGTCACCTGTATAATGAAGCCTCCAGGATTCGGCCTAGGCTTTTCGGCCGCGGTCCAGGAGCTCACAAGCAGGGAGGGGCCCGACAAATGCCGTGTTCTCTGGCCTCGCTCCCGTCATCAACGAAGCGCTCTTCACCGTCGAAGAGTACCCTTCTGAGCGTCTAGGACTCCTCAATGAGGCTGTCATCCTGTCGCTCGAGCAGGAGGCGGAGTCGCTGAAAGCAGACAATACCATGATTCTGGACTCGAGCACCCCTTCCTCTGAAGGGATGGCACGACGAGAACAGCCACCACATAGCACTCTAGCTATGCGGCGGGCTTCGCCCCATGAAGCTCACCCGAACTATGACCGTCCAAATAAAGACGGGCAACCAAGTTTTCCCGAACAAATTCGATCAAAAGCATTCTGAGCCAGTACTCCAACAGACGCCAAGAGGAGGGGCGAGCAGGACAGGGGGGAAGTGGCTGGCGGCTTGTTGCATTGCTGACGGCGACCGCCTAAGGCTAGTGCCGAGGCTGTGGACCATCCGAGTAGCATGGGCAACGCGCCAGCCTGCGAAATCAAGTGCTTGTCCCATAAAAGGGCAGCCGAAGCACCGACCAAGCGTCTATCCCAAGAAGAGCAGCTGAGCACGGACGCGCCATGACGAAGCAGTAAAGGAATAGCCAGTAAATGGTGCCAGTTCGAATACTAGCTTCAGGGACCACCGGATGCAATGCATCACCGTAAGAGCCAGGCCGAGACGTGGACGAAGTAGTGGAGCAGCAACCACCCAACGGAGAACAAGTGAGTGGTTTATGTCGACAACACCTCACGGGCAGAAGGCATGCCCCCAGAAACTTCAGGTAGAATTGGGAGTGCGGTTGCTCTGTAAGTGGCAGCATAGGTGACCATGGACATGAAGTCCCTCCACGAGCCTTACCGCCCAATTTCGGGCCCACATGGCCACCCATAGGCCCTTGTTTCCAGCAAGAATGGGTCTTCGTAGACAACCAACTCGCTGTTCGCAGAGGCCGGGCCGCCTCTGCACGCCCACCTCACTTGCGTAGAAGCTGCTAGCAGCGCCTAGCCGTGCCACAGGCATCGCACATGGCAGGTCTGGTTGGGTGCGGGCGCTGGTCACAGCCAGGGGAGGACTTGCGACCCCCCGCTCCCCTGAGGAGGCAAGCGGATCCTTGAGCCGCCGAGGCTTTCTTTTACTTCAGCCGCCTTCCACCAGCTTCCGCCGGCGGAGGCAGCCTCGTTTTACTTCTTCCGCCGACATTCCGCCGCCCCTCCGCCGCCTTCCGCCGAGGAAGAGATGGCAACTCCTTCGATCCTCGAAGGCAAGGAAGGCCCTTTCTGGAACGCCTCGTTCACAGTGGAGACCCATGCGAAGAAACACCCTGCTTGCCTCCAGGGTGCTCTGTGATTCTTGGGTTTCGATGGTTTTGCTGTGGGGAGCGCGGCGTTCCCACACCAAAAAATCAATGGACGTCCTGGGGTCTCAGGGTTGGGTTTCTTGTGGAAGGTCTCTTATGGTCGAGCCCCTACTGCCGCAGACCTAGAGGTTGACACCAACACCAATATCGGCGGTGTGCCTCCACCGAGGGAAGACGATCCCGATCTCGGTGATGGTGGTAAAATTATGGTTTCCAAGGAGGCCAGACTATTACCATCAACACCGAAAACTAGGATCATCTTCCCCCTGTGGAGGCAACCACATGTGTTGGTGTTGGTGCCCATGTCTGGGCCTTTAACATTGTAGGCCTCCTTGTGGCCGCGCTTCGATTGCACCGCCGCGCACCCAAAAAAAACACCCCTGCCTAGGGGCCGCTCCTGCGCGCAGCCGACGAGGGCGGCGAGGCGCTGCTCGCGGAGGCGCGCGGGGCCGCCCGCGCGGCGACGGCGGCGATCTTTTCTTCGGTCCTTCCATCCCTCGCTCGCTCCAGCTCCCAGACTGAAGTCGGGCGCGCCCCTCTACAGGAGAAAGAAGTAGATTCGAGAGTTGTCAAAAAATAGTCTGGGAACGATGCTTCCACTATTTTTCAGTATTGGTTTGTCTCTGTTTCACTCTTCCTCGAAATCCACCTGTAGGAGGACATGCCCGACCTCGTCCCAGACCTCCAACGTACAGTCGGACCGAGGTATAAGATCGAGGTCCGTTCGGGGCGGGTGCCCTGATGTTCTTCGTGTTTGCTGGATGTTCTTGCGCACCTTGGGGAGGGCATCCTTGGATGTTCTGGGCGTTTTGGCCAGCGGAGGGATGCTGTTCTGGCTGTTCTGGCTCAAGTCCGATTGCATAGAAGAAATCAGGGCGACGTGTTCGGACGTTTTCGTCGCTTCTGGGCGGTCGTCCAGCCTCAGGGTGCCATCCAGCAGCTGCGCCTCGCGAAGGGCGCTCCGGGGGTGCCCGGATCGTCCCGATTGGCCGTTGGAGGCCCGAGTTCGGGCCCGAAGATCATTCGGAGACCAGACATCCAACGTTTTGAAGAAATCGAAGCGGAGGTTTTTCGTATGGCGCGGGGACCTTCAAGAAGCCTCTCAGGATGAAGAGCGAGGAAGAGAGAAAGAGAGAGAGAGAGTTTGTGTGTTTGTATATGTGTGTGAGTGACTGGGGAAAAGATGAATAGGGAGAACGAGAGAGAGAGAGAGAGAGAAACAAAAAAAGAAGAGAGAGCGATGGAGATATAGAGAGAGGAGGAGAGCGAGAGTGTGAACGATCTGTGTATGTACAGATATATGTACACATATTCGAAAGCATCGAGAGACTTCCTGCGGCAGCGGGCGAACACAATAGTTGTTTGCTGTTTCTTGTGTCGCAATATGGAACGGATAAGGACACCGTAGCCGCCCGCGGGGCGGCGGCGACGGCGCGGCGGCCTGTCTCGGGAGCAACATGAGAGAGGAGGGATCGGCTCAGGGGGAGGTTCTTCGACAGCCGGCAGCGAGCGAGGGGGGGGAGTCACAAGGAGAAGGCCTTCTCAGAAGGCGGCGGGACTCCTCAGAAGCGCCCTGGCCTTCTGAGAGGTTTTCTGCGTCTTCGGGGAAGGCTCAGAAAACTCGTCAGAAGGCTGGGGGACTTCCGAGCCTCCTGAGAAGGCCCGCCCCTTCTCCCTTCCCCCTCGGGCTCGCCGCCGGGACAGTCTTCCGTAGTTCTCGAGAGCTTCCGAGGCCCAAGGCCGTTGCTGAAGGCGCCAGCGGCCTCTGGGCGGGTGGCGATCCTGGAGGGAGCCCAGACCTCTGCAGGGGAAGGGGGGGGGAATGGGACGAAAGGGGTTCGAGGTTCGAGGTTTTCGGACTTTTCCGTCTGTTCGCGGCGGCGTTCTAGCCTCGGAGTGGTTTCCATCAGCTGCGCCTCGTCGAGGGCGTTCCGGGCGTGCCAGAAGTAAGTGTCCCGAAGGGTTGCCGGAGGCGCGAGTGGTGGTCCCCGGGGATCGAGGTTCAGGGGGTCCAGGATCGAGGATCGGAGGTCGGGGATCGAGAATCGGAGGTCGAGGTTCGGGGGTCAGGGATTTCAGGGGGTCGAGGATCGAGGATCAGAAGTTCGAGACGAAAGCCTCCCCGGTCCTGTGCAGGGCCCGCTCCCTCTCCGCCGGTCTTGCAAAGGGCAGGGGAGGTTTCCGTCGGCTCCTGGCGGGGCCTTCAGCCTCGGGGGTGCCCTCCAGCAGCTGCGCGCCGCCGTGGGGGTGCCCGGGGTCGTCTCCACCGGCCACTGGGCGCCCCAGCTTCTGGCCCGAGGGTCCGAGAGCGCCCAGAGCTCGGTCGATCGCTGTTGTGCAGTCCAGGCGGCTCCTCCCTCGTCTCGGCCCCGCGGGGGGAGGGCGGGTGGGCGGCGGGGGCGCCCTCGGGCCCTCCAGGACCCATCGGGCACGGGCCCTGGGGCGCAGGGCCCCTGGGCGGCTTCGTCGGAGAAGGTGTCGGGGCTTCCTTGTGGGCCGCGGGGTGAGCAAGCATCGTCGGGTGCCTGGGGGGGCGGCGGCCGTGCCGGCGAACGGCGGGCGGCGGGCGGCGGGGAGGGCCTTGCTCAGTCCCGGCGGCTTCTCCCCGGCCTCGAGCGGAGGGCGGCCCCGTAGGGAGGGAGCCGGAGCGTGCTCGGGGGGGGGCTTCGGGGTGAAAACGAGAGGCGCGTCGTCGGGTGTCTGGGGGAGCGGCAGTCGTGCCGGCGGCGCGCGGAGGAGGGCGGGCGGCGGGCGGCGGGGAGGGCGCAGGGAGGGCGATCAGGACGAGGAGGAGGAGGAGGAGGAGGAGGAGGAGGAGGAGGCGGAGGAGGAGGCGGAGGCGGAGGCGGAGGCGGAGGCGGAGGCGGAGGCGGAGGCGGAGGCGGCGGCGGCGGCGGCGGCGGCGGCGGCGGAGGAGGAGGAGGAGGAGGAGGAGGAGGAGGAGGAGGAGGAGGAGGAGGAGGAGGAGGAGGAGCTCTGCGAGACTCGCTGATCTGTTGTGCCTGGCCACGCAGCACAGCGGCCCTGGCCGCCCCGTCGAGGGCCCAACCAGCGACGACACAGCCAGAGCATGCCCATCCCCCTGCGCCTAATCCTTCAGTCGGGGGCGCGCAAACATGGATTAGCGATCCATGGATTTGGCGCGCCGTCGCCAAATCCATGGATCTGGGGAGGTGCCCTCCCCAAAATGCGGCCGGTGCCGCATCGTTCGGCGGCGGAAATCCGCGATTTCCCATGGAAACGGGACCCGTCGCTAATCAACGCCCCCTTAATCTATGTATGTTTGCGATCGCCTGATTCAGCTGTGCTCCTATCTGCAGCTAGCCACGCCGTCGAGGAGTGTGGCAGGCAGTGCAGTGTGCACTTCAGCTCCGTCTCGGAGGCCACTCAGTCGGAGTGTCTCAACTCAGCATTCTTCCAACCTCACAACACTCATGGGAGTTTCGTTTCACTCCCCCGAGGAAGTAAGTTGCGCGTGGCGGGGGGCTGAGTATACAGTAATCACCACACGTGTCGGCATAAACATTTGAAGCTCTGGTTTTGTGCTAGGTGCGGGCTTGATGTTTTGTTAGCATTGTGATTCGGAACCTGGGCCACGCAGGTCCCAGGGCTACGAGCGCAAATCGAAGCAAGAGTCGTATCCATCCCCATCTACGGCCCAAGGCTCAAAGCAAGGCCGACAAGCTCGCAAGCATCCGCAGTTCGCTCACCTCGACTCGCATCGCGACAGGTCTCGTTCACGCTCCTCCTCCTCCTGCTCCTCCTCCTCCTCCTCCTCCTCCTCCTCCTCCTCCTCCTCCTCCTCCTCCTCCTCCCCCTCTCCGCTCCGGGGCGGTGGGTCGCGGAGGCCGGCGCGGGGGCAGGGGGCCGCCCCACCGCCGCCGAACAGGAGGCCGACCGGGCGTCGCCCGAGAGTGAGAGCTCGAGCGGCTCGGAGGAGGCGCCCGAGGGGGATGGTGAGAGTAAGGGGAGGATGGGGGGGGCAGCCTCCCCAACCCCCTTCCCTTCCTCTCGCCCTCCCTCTCGCACCCCATCTCGCCCCCCCCCCCCTCGCCCTCCCCCCTCGCCCTCTCGCCCTCCTCTTCCTCTCGCCCTCCTCTTCCTCTCGCCCTCCTCTTCCTCTCGCCCTCCTCTTCCTCTCGCCCTCCCACCTCTCCCTCGCCCTCCCGCTCGCCCTCCCCCCCCCCGCCCCTCCCAGGGAGGAGAGGGAGGGGGGGTGGCCGAGAGGCGAGGGGCGAGGAGCGAGGGAGAGGCGGACGGGGGGGGGGAAGGGCAACGAGAGGGGAGCCCTGAGATCCGACGCTCCCAAAAAATTGGAGCAGGCGGATCTTGACAGTTTTCGGCCTCCGGGGGCCATCGCCGGGCCTCGAGAGCGTCAAACAACAACTCAGGACGCAAAAGCGGTCCCGGGGAAGTGGTCCGGACCTCCGGGGTTCACGCACGAAAAAAATTGGAGCAGCTGGATATCTGAGAGGGGAGGCATTTGGGAGGATGCATAGACCCCTTGTCGCCCATTGATCGACGATTCCAGGTCGATGCATCCCCTCCCATGCCGGTATCCCCCGATCGTTGCACCTCAGGAGGGAGGATGAGGAGGTAGGTGGAGAGGGGGTGCGCATTTGCGTGTCAAGCCTCTCGAGTTTCTTGCTCACGTGATCGTATTTCCTCTCTGGG